GGCGGAGGCGGGGAAGCCATTTCTGAGACAGCTGCTAGAGTTAAGAAGAGTGATGTCTAAGAGGCCCACACCAGGAAGAGTAGCGAGACTAGAGACAGCTAAAAAATTAAGCAGTCCTCATACAAGGCTGAGTACTGAGAAGAGAAGGAAAGAGAGGGTCAAAGGTGATGCCAGGACTTCTTGTTGGGGACCCTGGGAGGCAGAAGCCGACTTGGAAATGCCCAGAGGCTAGTGGGAGATCTGGGCACCTGAGTCTGGTGCCCAGGTCCAGAGGGAAAGTGGCTGTGGGCTGCAGCCTCAGAGTTGGGTGTCACTGGTGGAACGTATGGGGAGGGGCTGAGCTCTTCTGGAGAGGAGAGAGGAGCAAGTTATTTGACAGGCAAAGAGGGTGGGGCATGGAGCCTGGGCAGCATGGGGCAAGTTGCCCAGGATCTGTAACTGGCTTCTGGCTTCTTGCCCCCGCAAGCTCTGCCTGGGCTAAGGGACCTCAGTCTCCCAGCAAGAAGATCAAGCAGGCCTAGGGCTCTGTTTCCCCCTGACTCTCTGGCTCTCTGAGTGACTTCAGTCCCAGTAGAAGATGGGCAAGTGGCATTGGCCACAACCTCTGGCACTGAGTGACTGGGGAAGGCTGATCCTGGGCTCCTCTTGGCCACAGGTGACAAATACTGGGTGTTTAAGGAGGTGACGGTGGAGCCTGGGTACCCGCACAGCCTGGGGGAGCTGGGCAGCTGTCTGCCCCGAGAAGGCATTGACACGGCTCTGCGCTGGGAACCTGTGGGCAAGACCTACTTTTTCAAAGGCGAGCGATACTGGCGCTACAGTGAGGAGCGGCGGGCCACGGACCCTGGCTATCCCAAGCCCATCACCGTGTGGAAAGGCATCCCACAGGCTCCCCAAGGGGCCTTCATCAGCAAGGAAGGATGTACGTAGGGGCCTGGCTGGGTCGGGGGGGCTCTGATTTTATGTGAGTCTCAGCAGGGCCCACGGGCATACTCTCAGGGTATCTAGGTTTGAGCAACATTACCTAGTGGCAAAGACAACTGCCTCATATCTACCCATGTTCACACAGCAAATTAATTTTCTCTTACCAGCTACCAAGTCACACTTTCTCATCTGCAGGAATGATTCACAATTGAGAGATGTTTTCATAGACTGACGTCATTCCTTCAGATGGCATTTCTCAAACAGAGGTCCTCAGGTGTACTCTAGGGACTAGTTATCAAATCTGAAAAGCAATAATGGATACAAGTGGTTCAAAGGTGCTTTTTCACAAAGCTTGAGGGCAGGAAGATGGAAAGAGAAGCGTTTTTTATTTATGAGATATTTCCTAAGCTCCTCCTAGAGCCCAGGCTGGCAACCGTGGCTGCCATCAGGCACTCACAGCCTCTCCCCATCAGACTAGTCGCTTCACTAGAGGAAGGGCTGGGTCTTCCCAGGTGCAGAGTGGGTATCCATGAATGTTTGTTAAATATATCTCCACTGATCTGGCCAAAAGCACAGACTCTGGAGCCAGCCTGGCTAGTTGCACATCCCACCTCCACTTACCATGAGTCTGGGCAAATCACTTAAGTTTTCTCAGTTTCCTCATCTACAAAATGGGGATAATAATGGTACCTGCCTCATAGGGCTTTGCGAGGATTAAAGAAGACAAATTATGTAGAGCACTTAGACCAATGCCTAGCACGTGGCCCATGCCATATAAGTTTTAGTTTATGTCATCATCATCATCATCTCGTTGGTGTGTTTTAGTTTATGTGGAATGACACAAGTCATACATTCACACCACAATAATTACTGAGAGCAAGGTTGCGTGGGAGGGCTGGAGATGGAGCAGGGAACAAGACTTGTATTGCATCCCTGGCTTCCAGTCTAGAGGCAGAAAACAAATCATTTGTGCCAACAAATGCTATGAGGGAAAAAAGAATGCTGTGAGAGAGCAAGTAGGCACAGGGGGCCATGTTAGAGTGGGTCGCCGGGAAGGGCTCTCAAGAGATGTCACTGATAAGAAAACCAATGGGCACAGGGCAGAGCTGCTGTTTGGTGGCTCTCCTGTGTACCTGATGCTTTACACACGTGGTCTCGCTTTCTGTGGAGCCTCAGAGACAGATGACATCAAGGACTTTAGCCAATCAAAGTCCCAGCCAGGGGGAGCTGGCCAATAGGGGAGTCTGAGTGAGTTGCTTTGTAGACTGTAGACTGGCTGGGCCGCTAAGGCTGTTGCTGGGAGCCTTGGGGTGGTTGCCCAGTGCTGCTGCCTCCTTTCCTTCCAACCCCTCCCCCAGCAGTGTCCCAGAGACCTTGCATCTGTGTTGTGATGTGTGCCAAGCCAAAAAAACCATGATAATTGTGACAAGGTGGTGTCCGCTGTCAACAGAAGGAAAAATCTTGCTCCCTGCCTCCCTTGCCTCAGGCAGGAGCTGGACTGAGGCCCTGGAGCTATGGAGACAGTACTGTCTAAGCCATAGTTGGGGGCTTGATCTGACCCAAGTCCGGGCGACTATGGGCACAGTGTGACAGAGCTGAGAAGGGTCCTGTCTGGGAGGCACAAATTGAACTTACCAATTCTACTTAAAGCCCCTCAGTGGCTTCCCAGCACCTTTGACATGACGAGTGGGTTGCTCTAGGTCCTGGGTGCCCCTTTCTGCAGCTGTGTAGGTCACACTTCATGACCCAGCCATACTATTTTCAGGGTGTGCCAAGCACTGCACTTTCCCCACCTGCAAGCATTCCAACACGCTGCTCCCACCACCTCATCAGCCCACCCCATCTTCAGAGCGCCTCTTGGGTCCTCCAGGGTGGGAGAGGTGCCCCTCCTCCATGGTGCCACAGCACCCGTGACCTCTCACACTGGCCCAGAGCAGCAGCAGGGGAAGAATATGGGAGTGGTGATGCTAGGCCCTGTTTCTACAGATTACACCTACTTCTACAAGGGCCGGGACTACTGGAAGTTTGACAACCAGAAACTGAGCGTGGAGCCAGGCTACCCACGTAATATCCTGCGTGACTGGATGGGCTGCAACCAGAAGGAGGTGGAGCGGCGCAAGGAGCGGCGGCTGCCCCAGGACGATGTGGACATCATGGTGACCATCAACGACGTGCCGGGCTCTGTGAATGCCGTGGCTGTGGTCATCCCCTGCATCCTGTCCCTCTGCATCCTGGTGCTGGTCTACACCATCTTCCAGTTCAAAAACAAGGCAGGCCCTCAGCCTGTCACCTACTATAAGCGGCCAGTCCAGGAGTGGGTATGAGCAGCCCAGAGCCCTCTCTGTTCACTCGGTCTGGCCAGCCAGGCCCTTCCTCACCAGGGTCTGAGGGGCAGCTCTGGCCACTGCCCACTGGGGGCAGCAGGGCCCTAGGCCAGGGGTTGTGCAGCTGAAGTGGTGGGTGTATTGGCCTAGGCTGAGCATGGGGCAGGGAGTGATGGCGGCTGTGCCCCAGGGTGGGTGTCTGGCACCCAGCTGCCAGCCTTCTGTCCTGGGTAAACTGTCCCCGACTCAAGGGAATAGGCTAGGCCCCATCAGGAGGCAGGGACCATGCCAGGAGGAGGCCTTGTGGTCACTGCATCCTGTGGTGTCCATGAGGCACCACAACTCTGTTCCTGGCTGGACCCAGCACCTTCTGTGGGAAGCCAGCACTAGCGCTCTCAGCCCATCTGGGAGATGCCACCAGTCCTGGTTCCCCCTTGCCAACACCTGCTGGTCAGATGTCCCCCAACCCCCACCCCACTGTCCTCCAAGGCTATAGCACCCCTGCTGCCAAAATGGTGGGCAACAAGTCTAGGTTTCCCTTGCTGGCATACAGCAGATCCCTCAGGAAACCTGCTCCACACATCAGGGTCTCCTCTGAGACCCAGGATTTAGGATCACATGCTGCAGGCAGGGCTGTGGCCCAGCTGAGTCTGACAAGGACCCAGCTGTCACATCGTGAATATTTATGTCCTGTCACTACTGTTTAAAGTCCCATTCTGCAAAGGCTGCTTGAGGCTTTAGATGAATTATAGGTGACTGTCTTGGTGATGAGGCCAGTGAGGCCAGCCCTCCTTCAGGTGAAAAGGACCAAGGTGCTGCTAAGGCCACTCTAGCGCCCAGACCCCCCAGGAGCTGAGCCCTGCTCATGAGGCTAAAGGGCTGGGGCAGCCCTTCCCACTTCTGGAAGCCAATCTGAGTTTGTGACCATCCTCCACTCCCCTCCCATTATCCCTATCTCTCTTCCCATTCCCCCAGTCCCCAGCCCCGCACCAGCCTATTGCTTGTGGCGTGGGCGCTCAGCCTGACTAGTTAGGTGAGGTAGAAATGGCTCCAGGCCAACATTCTCATAGCCTTGGGGTAAGGGACCGAAGGGAGCCTTCTGAAGTACTGAGAGCCCACAGTTCTAGCTACCCTGAGGCCTACTCAATCTCTCAGCCTGAAAGCCGTGTTTATACCACAAGTTTGGTCCTTGCTGACCCAGCTCACTGGTCCCATCTTCCTGCATTGCTTTTGGGAAAAGGGCACCCCCAGCTGGTAGCAGCCCCAAGCCTAAAGGTCTCTCTTTTTGACCCTTCTTGGGACGACCCTTCACTGTCTCTGGCAGGAATTCCTAGGGCTCAGCTTGCCTCACTCCAACCCAGTGGAGGTAGCCCTGCTGGTTACTGAGAAGCCCTAGGCAAGAACAATGGGTTCAGTGATGCCCACTGGCTCTCTGCCAAAGCCAAAAGGAAGTATCAGTCTCCAGGGTGCTGGCAGGGCCTCAGATGCCACCTTGGCCCTCTGAGCCTGCATGGGCCTTGCCCCCAGTGACCTCTGGGCTTTGGGTCAGCTTAACCTATAGCAGACAGGGACTCCTGCTGCTCAGGGAGCTATCTCAAGAAAAATCTCTCTTGTCCCAGAGGCACCTATGTGGGTTCACTGTGTTCCCTGTCATCATCCTTCTGTTTTTTCTCATTTTGACCAAGGGCGGGCTCCCTGGGGTGGGTGGGGAACAACTGCGGAGATATTAGTGATTCATAGGTTTGTACAGTGTTTTATACTTCACAAAGCACTTTATTAGCTCACACCTGTCCACTCACATCAAACTCGTGTAGGCCCTGGGAGGCCGAGGGTAACTCTCACCGTGCCCTCAAATGAAGCACAGAGAGGTTGTTACTTGCCCAGGCCATCCAGTGGGCTGAGTGGGCCTTGGGTCCCCACCTGTGGACCCCTTTAGGGTCCAAGATGAGATCAGAAGTGTCTCTTTTATCCATCTTTTCCTGGCCTCCCTTCTCCCCTTCCTGGTCCCTCTCCACTCCTCAGGTTGGTGCTCTCACTTCTAGGCCCCCCAGGCTCCCCGTTGGCTCCTGATACTACTGAGGCCAGCTGAGAAAGAGCAGGAGATGGAGGCAGGCAGCCCAGGCTGCAGATGTGAGGGATGCAGGGCCAGGACCAGAGAGGGCCCAGCTTGGAGGCTTCCACTCAGATTCTCCTGCCTTGTGGTCATCTGTTTGTCCATCACCCCAGGACAGGGCAGTCAGTCAGAGGGGCAAAGCATTGGGGGCCCCAGAGCCCAGCTTCCCCTCAGCCTGGGGAACATCACAGCATTTCAGTGTCCGTCACATTTTAAACTGATCAGCCTTTGTAAAATGTTTTTTAAATCATTTCTAAATAAAACAAAAATACAGAGTGTGTCATTTCCCTGGGATGCGGGAACAACAATCAAGTTCTGAGAGTGGCCTTAGGAAGCTTCTGGGAGAAGTGGACCAGGGTGCTTTGGGGGTGTCCGGGAGCTGCCCCACGCATCTCATCTGCCAGCCCAGCAATCAGATGTCTTCCCTCTCCAAAAGGCTGGCTGTGGAGGCCCAGTGTTATTGGGGTCCGAAGAATACATACTGATAATGGCTCACTGGGATCCAGGATAGAGGAGCAACCTCCCCTAGGAGTACGGGGAGGGTCACTGTGACAAGGTTTTCTCTGAAGTCAAGGCACATGGTGCCATGACCAGAGACAAAAGCAAGAGCCCAGTTCTCAGCAATAAGGGGCAGACAAGGAGAGGTCAGGTCAGCAGCCTTGGGGTCTTACCAGGACCCCTGGTCTGGTTCTGGAAGCCAGTGACAGGAACGGCTGCCCGAGGACCCAGACGGCTGGAGAAGGGGTGGGAGTGAGCACGATGGTCTGAGCTGGTTTGGGAGCAAAATGGGAAGCAAACAAATTCGGGGTGGCGGGAGCGGCCAAAGGCGAGACGGCGCCCCATGGCAAGGCTGTGGAGGCGGCCCTGCCAGGACTTCCTTTCAGTTCTCCGCGACCTCCAGATTGTCAGCGCGTCTCCGAGGCGCCGGGGGGTACGGTAAGAGAGACACCGGGCCGTGGGGAGAGACGACAAGGACGGCTCAGGCGAGGCGGACAGAAGGACAGGAGGCGGCGGGCGGAACTGCGAAGGGCGGCGAGTCAGTACCAGGAGGTACAGACGATGAGGAAGCGCAGGTCGTCCAGCGGCCCCCAGGCGCCGGGCTCGGGCGGAGGCCGCTGAGGGCCCTCGGGCGCTGCGGGCTGCGGCTGCGGCTGCGGCTGGGGCTGCGGCTGGGGCTGGGGCTGCGTCGGCTGCGGAGCGCCCTGGCCGCCGCTCACCTGAGCGCCCATGGTCTGCGACGGGAGAAGCCCGTCAGGCGTGGGACCAGCCGCACGCCACACCAGCACCCGCCCTCCCGCGGCTCCCCAACTTCTCCTCCCCTCCCCTCCCCTCACCTCGCGCAGTCGCAGCCGGAGCCCCAGGTCTCAAGATCCCAGCCTTGGCTTCCGCGCTCTGCTAGCCTGCGCTGCGGCGCCGGAAGGAGCTGGCGCCGTGACGTCACCGCGCACCGACCCCGCCCCCTGGTCGCCAGAGCGGAGTTCCAGGCCCCGGGAGCGGGGCGGAACAAGCCCGACCCCACCCACCAACAACCGACCAATCCCACCCCATCGTCCCGAAACCCCGCCCTGCGCGCGGCCCAGAGATTTATGGAGCCGCCCCAGCTACCAACGACCCTCTCGGCCGCTACCTGGCTCCACGCCCACTCAAGCTCCTAAGGGAAGGGGTCGGCAAAGGTTGGTCTACAGCTGTTGAGGGCACCTGGCAGCCAGGCGAGCAACCTCCATCCACCTTGGGTCAAAGAGGACAACACTGCCCTGTCGCCAGGTGCCTTACAGGGTCCTCATATGGGCCCAGGGGAGAGCTGGAACAGATTCTTATCCTTTGAAGCCCAGAGCATAAAGCTGAAGTTGCCTGGGAAATGTTAGAACTACAGTGGAGTGCTTCCTCTTGCCCTGGGATGAAGCCACCCATCCTGATGATGGGGGAGGAGGGGTGGGAGATTGTGGAACCGACGGGTATGTGTGCATCCTACCCCACCTTCTCCCTGGAAGAATGGGGGTGGGGGATGGGTGCGGGCTGAGGCCCCCAAACAACATATTCACAACAGAATGACCAGAGGCAGCTGCCCTTTAATGGGGTAGCACAGGATAGCAGAGCTTTCAGCTAGGAGCCACAGGGCCTGATAGCCAGCATGATGTGGCAGATTTTTGCAGAAACCAGACTCAAGAGATAGAAACAGGTGAAGAAGGACTGGGCATCCAGCCAACTCAGTCCCAGTAAGCTCTCTCCCACCTCCCTGACAGCATCCAGTACAGACTGAGTAGGGTGTGGAGAAGAAGCCAAAGGTCACAGCCAGGAACCCACGGAACAGCATGGAAGGTGACTCAGGCGAGGCTGGGGAGAGAAAGGAAGGAGCGTCATCAGTAGGTGCTTCACGGAGCACACCTCACCCTTCATTCTCAAGGTGCTTGCTTCCAGCCTTAACCCTGGACCTCTGTTACAGTTCAGCTCTGAAGAGCAACACTCAGCCCCTTCCAGGTCCCACTGCTCCTATGAGTCACAATCCAGTCTAGAACTCGCAATGCTTTAAAAGCTAAAAGTAATTCCTTCCCCACTCAGGTGGGTCAACTCAATTTATTCAAACTGTTATTGATCATAAACCAGAGCCTCAGGGAGCTCAGAGAGGGGAAGGGATGTGCCCACACCACAAATCCTCTAGTGGCAGGGATGGGGCCAGAACATTCTTCCTGGAGGTGATAATCATGTGCACGATTATAATACTAAAGTACGTATTCTAATCACCAACCTGATTCCTTCATTGTGAGGTCTCATGGGCACCTCAAACTCAATGTGTTCAAAACCAAAGGAGGCTAATGAGTTTTGTCTCTTCCTTTTCAATACCCATTTCTTTCTTATCCAACTGCATAGGCTAGGACCACCAGAATAATGCTGACCAGTGCTCGTGACCGTAGGCAATTCTGCCTGACTTGAATGGCAGTTTCTGAAGTTTCACCCTTAAATGCAACATTTGCTGTAGTTTTTTAGCAGGTACTAATTATCAGGTTACAGAAACTTATTTCTGTTCTTAGGTTGCTAAGAGGTTTTTTGTTTTGTTCTTTAATTAAATGATTAATTGTGTAAGTACTGTCTTTTGTGTGTGTGTGTGAGGAAGATTAGCCCTGAGCTAACATCCGATGCCAATCCTCCTCTTTTTGGTGAGGAAGACTGGCCCTGGGCTAACATCTGTGCCCATCTTCCTCTACTTTATATGGGACGCCACCACAGCATGGCTTGACAAGCAGTGCGTTGGTGTGCGCCTGGGATCCGAACCTGTGAACACTCGGGCCGCTGAAGTGGAGCGCACACTCTTAAGCGCTACATCCCCGGGCCAGCCCCTTGTACTGTCTTCTTTATGAGATTCTATATTCCAAAAGGACAGGGAGGGTATATTTTATTCATCACCACATCTGACACATGATAGGTGCTAAAAAAAAAAAAAAAAACCACCAGTACCACTTTCCTTTTCAGACCCTTTCAACTGCTCTCTAGTGTTGACAGCAGAGTTTGTCAGTGTAGTCCCAACTGCCCCATCAGATCACCCAGGAAAGCTTATTAAAAAAACCACACGTGGCTGGGCACCACTCCAGACCTAGGGAATCAGTATCTGAGAAGTGACACCAGGAAGCTACATTAGCAAGCATCCCAACATACAAAGCTCAAAACCACAGGTCTACAGTCAAAACTTCTTGACATGGGTATTCAGAGTCCTCAATACTCTGGGAATACCACCTTTCCCCTTCGCACCTACCACACTTGCCCATCTCCATGCCTGTCTGAAGTGTTTCCCCACTCCATCTCTGCATATTCAAATACCTACTCCTTCCCTGAAGCCCACATTAAACGATCTGTCCTCCACAAAACCTTCTTGGATCCCAGAACGTGTCTCATTGGAGCTTCCCAAGCCACTTAAGGCACTTTTGCTTTCCCCTTTGAAGGTAGCTGAGTTATGTGTGGCCACTACATCTTCTCTCCCCTGCTGTACTGTGAGCCCCTAGAGGCAGGACATAGGACTAAGGTGCCTGACTATCCCACATGGAGCCTTGTCCATAGGGCTCAATGAACATCAGGTGAATGAATGAAGGAGAGAGAGTGATGGGAAATTTTGCTCCTGATAAGTAGGGGGTCTGTTACTTGGCACTAGCTCTACACTTTGGGGTTTCTATCCTCATAAAGACCCCTGTGCTAGTTGGGTGTGGCATGATTTGAGAAGGATCCTCAACGGGGGATGAGAGAGGGAGAGGCTGAATATCCAGCACCTGCTGCTTATCCAAAAAAGGGATTATAGAGCCTCACACCCCGGAATCTCCTGGGTTAGGGCCCAAGAACCTGCTTTTTAAAGAAATCCACAAAACTCCAGATGATTGTGATTTTGATGTAATCCCCAGCCACCAAGTCCTTTATGCATCTGGGGTCTCCTCAGTTCCTAAGAGCAGCCTCCCCTCCTCTCAGTAAACAGCTTTTTTCTGGTTCTGGCTCTGGGCTGCTGGCTGGGGACAGCGGCACACAGGCAGATACAAACTGCAAAACAATGTGGTCAGTGATGAAATGACGGATCAGAGGGGATACTGAGCTGAGCAGATGCTCAAGCATTGCTTGCTGGCTCTACCCTGTGACTGCTCAGCAGTGTGCAGGTGTGCCCTCACACGCAAGGAGAACCTATCAGTAGGAATATTGTGTGGCTCCCATTCTAGGTGGCATCTCCTTCCCCTACCCGCAAAAGGCAGAAGAGAGAGAGGCCCAGGCCCAGATACCTGTCAATGAGGGAATCCCGCATGCTGGTAGCAATGGTGCTAGGCTGGGCTTCGTTCAGCTTGAAGACACTCTCCACCACTGACAGCTCTGTGCTGGTTGTGTCCAGGCCACAGAAGGCACACCAGTCGTTCACCACCATCCCAGCAGCAATCACCTCACTGCCTCGGTTCACGGTGCCCGCCTGCCAAGGAATGGGCTCAGGGTGGGTCACTGTACCAACAGCCAAAGTCTCTCCCCTCCCTCATAAGGACTCTACCCAAACTCTGCTCCCTGACATGCAGCCCTAATCCCAAACTGTGGGAGGTAATAACCCAGATTCCTGAACACTGGGCAAAGAGATGTGCCTCAGCAGGAGACAGAGAACAGGAATGCTTACCACAAGGGGGACCTGAAGAAGAGAGGACAGCTCATCCTGGTCTTCAATTGAAGTCTTGGGATGTACCAGCCCTCCCTGATTGCTGAAGACACAGTAGCTTCCTACTAGCACCTGGTCAGCCACTGTCTGTCTGAAGACTTCCACCTTGAGCACATCAGCCAGGATTTCCTCTGTTTCCTGTCAGCCGAAGTATTGTACTCAGGGCCCAGAACTTGCAAGTCAAAGAACCTGGGGCCCTCCACAGCCAGAACCACCTGGGGCTTGGTTCCCTGAGCCCCTCATTCCTCTGCTACGTAGCTACATATGGAAGCTTCACCCAGAAAAAGGAGGGGATGCAGCTTAGAGCAGAAACTAGGGCAGCTATGGAGTCCCTGATATCCACGCATGCCCTGAACAGCCAGGGGCTGGTCTTCACATCACCCTCTTCCCTCTAACCCACACTTAAAAGAGTTCAGCTGTCAATCTCTCCTGGCCCTGGCTGCAGGACCAGATGGATCAATCTCCCTGATTCTGAAGGATTAGTACCCTTCCCAGCTTCCTTCTGGCACTGACCACACCACGGAAGGCCTCTATTATCACTATTCCAATGAGTGCCTGAAATGTGAGAGCCAGGTATGAAGAGAAACCACAAGAGACACCCCTAAGTCCTGACTGATAGGCAAGAATAGTGGCTAACCACTGACTAGGCTGGTCCTGTGACTCTTGGGCCAAACTGGGCTGCCTCACCCGGTCTAGGTCTGGGTGGACCAAGGCCACGTAGTCATTGCAGGTGGTGACATTGCCCAGGGCTGAGAGCCGCTCCTCCACTCGCCGGATCTGCACTGAGTCTGGGAGGCTGTTGCGAATGTGTTGCAGCTCCTGGTCGGTGGTGTTGTTGGGCACCAGGAGACCGTGCCTATTCCCTAGAGAGACCCAAATCAGGGGGAGTAGGAGGGGGTGGCAAGGATGGACCATGAATACAAAAGATGTCTGCCATACTCTGGGGGCTGAGGATACAATCCAGCCCAATTAGCTTCCCCAGGAAAGCTTTAGGCCCAGACCCCAGTCCTCCAACCCACCGATCCATACAACACCCAGGGGGACCAGAGGTCCCACTGGGCAGGCCAGAGATGGCCCAGGAGTCTGTCCCAACATAACCTGCCCATTTCGCCATCATCAACCAGGGGGGACCAGGACTAGCAGGAAAGGCCCTTGGCATTAGTTGTACATCTTGCTACTTAAAAACTGAGCTAATGCTACACACCACCTACCAGAATGGCTAAAATTTTTAAAAGAATATCAATACCAAGTGTTGGCAAAGATATATGGAGCAAGTGAAACTCTCATACACTCTAATAGGAGTGTAAATTGGTCAACCACTTCAGATAATTATTTGGCATCACCTAACACATTGAATATTCACATACCCTGTGACCCAGCCATTCCTCCTCTAGGTATTACACAGGCATACCTCGTTTTTTTGTTCTTGGCTTTATTGCAATTCACAGATATTGCATTTTTTTACAAGTTGAAGGTTTGTGACAACCCTGCATCAAGCAAGTCTATCAGCGCCATTTTTCCAACAGCATTTGCTCACTTCGTGTCTCTATATCACATTTTGGCAATTCTCACAGTATTTCAAACTTGTTAATTATTATTATATGTTATGGTGATCTGTGATCAGTAATCTTTGATGTTACTATTGTAACTGTTTTAGGGCGCCACAAGCTACACCCATGTAAATGGTGAACTTAATAAGTGTTGTGTGTGTTCTGACTGTTCCACCAACCAGCCATTCTCCTCTCTCCCCCTCCTTGGGCCTCCCTATTCCCTGATACACAACAATATTGAAATTAAGCCAATTAACAACCCTGTGATGGTTTAAGTGTTCAAGCGAAAAAAAGAGTTGCAGGACTCTCACTTATATCAAAAGCTGGAAATGATTAAGCTTAGTGAGGACATCATGTTCAAAGTCAAGACAGGCCAAAAGCTAGGCCTGTTGTGCCAAAGAGTTAGCCAAGTTGTGAATGTAAAGGAAAAATTCTTGAAGGAAATTAAAAGTACTACTCCAGTGAAAACACTAAGGATAAGAAAACAAAACAGCCTTATTGCTGATATGAAGAAAGTTTTAGTGGTCTGTATAGAAGATCAAACCAGCCACAACATTCCCTTAAGCCAAAGCCTAATCCAGAGCAAGGCCCTAACTCTCTTCAATTCTGTGAACGCTGGGAGAGGTGAGGAAGCGGCAGAAGAAAAGTATGAAGATAGCAGAGGTCAGTTCATGAGGTTTAAGGAAAGCAGCCATCTCCATAGTATAAAGGTGCAAGGGGAAGCAGCAAATGCTGATGTAGAAGCTGCAGCAAGTTATCCAGAAGATCTACCTAAGATAATTAAGATGGCTACACTAAACAACAGATTTTCAGTGTAGACAAAACAGCCTTATATTGGAAGAAGATGTTACCTTGGACTTTCATAGCTAGAGAGAATGAAAGAGAGAAGTCAATGCCTGGCTTCAAAGCTTCAAAAGACAGGCTGACTCTTGTTAGGGGCTAATGTAGCTGATGACTAAGTTGAAGACAATGCTCATTTACCATTCTGAAAATTTTAGGGCCCCTAAAAATTATGCTAAATCTACTCTGCTTGTGCTCTATAAATGGAACAACAAAGCATAGATGACAGCACACATTTATAAAATGGTTCACTGAACATTTTAAACCCACTGTTGAGACCCATTGCTCAGAAAGAAAGATTCCTTTCAAAATATTACTGCTCATTGACAATGCACCTGGTCACCCAAGAGCTCTGATAGAGATGTACAACGAAATTAATGTTGTTTTCGTGCCTGCTAACACAACATCCATTCTGCAGCCCCTGGATCAAGGAATAATTTTGACTTTGAAGTCTTACTGTTTAAGAAATACATTCCATAAGGCTATAGCTGCCATAGGTAGTGATTCCTCTGATGGATCTGGTCAAAGTAAACTAAAAACCTTCTAGAAAGGATTCACCATTCTAGATGTCATTAAGAATATTTGTGATTCATGGGAAGAGATCAAAATATCAACATTACCAGGAGTTTGGGAGAAGCTGATTCCATCCTTCATGGATGACTTTGAGGGGTTCAAGACTTCAGAAGAGGAAGTAACGCAGATGTGGTGGAAATAGTAAGAGAACTAGAATTAGAACTGGTGCCTGAAGATGTGACTGAATTGCTACTCTCATGATGAAACCTTAATGGATGAGGATAACTTTAACTTCTAAGGATGAGCAAAGAAAGTGGTTTCCTGAGAGGGAATCTACTCCTGGTGAAGATGCTGTGAAGACTGTTGAAATGACAACAAAGCATTTAGAATATTACATAAACTTAGTTGATAAAGCAGTGGCAGGGTTTGAAAGGATTGACTCCAATTTTTAAAGAAGTTCTACTGTGAGTAAAATACTATCAAACAGCATCACATGCTACAAAGAAATCGTTTGTGAAAGGAAGAGTCAATCGATGCAGCAAACTTCACTGTTGTCTTATTTTAAGAAATTGCCAGCCTTCAGCAACCACCACCCTGATCAGTCAGCAGCCATCAACATCGAGGCAAAACCCTCCACCAGCAAAAAGATTATGACTCACTGAAGCCTCAGATGGTGGTTAGCATTTTTTAGCAATAAACTATTTTTTAGTTAAGGTATGTACATTATTTTTTTAGACATAATGCTATTGCACACTTAATAGACTACAATATAGTGTAACCATAATTTTTCTATGCACTGGGAAATCAAAAAATTCCTGTGACTCACTTTATTGCCATATTCACTTTCTCGCGGTAGTCTGTAACCAAACCCACAATATCTCTGAGGTATGCCTGTACATCCAATAGAAATACCTACACGTGTTCACTAAAAAACATAGCAACTCTATTCATAATAGACCAAACTGAAAACTACCCAACTACCCACTGTCAAGAGAATGGATGAATACACTGTGGTATACTTACACAAAACTATACAGCAACAAGAATTAACAAACTACAATTACATTGTGACAACAATGACTAAACCTCTGCCTACGTCTGCAAGGCCACAACTTGGAACTTCGGAACTCTGTGGTTACTCCCATCATTAAAAAAAACACCCCCCGCCAGGTTAACTTCTCTCATTACGTAACAACTTACTTCAAGTCCTAAGGTCATGATTAGGGAGCAGCGTTTCAAATGAATAAGAAAATACTGAAAAGGCCAAAGTCACTAGGCTTAAGATAAAAAATAGAGGAACAAACTTCTATAAGGGGTGGCAATAAAGGGAGACAGATCCAGCTCAAAGAAAGGACCAATGGCCTGAGTCAACAGTGCTGAGAAGTAGGGGAGTAGGGTGGGATGCCACTCATAGACGTGCTAAAGGGAATTTAAGATTTAAATGGATAACTAAACAGGATGCCCCAGAATCTTAGCTTATCGTTTTTTAGAAGCAGAAATGGATGCTCAGAAAGAGGAAGCAACTTGCCCAGAGTCAGCGGCAGGGGAGAGATGACATTCTAATCCTCTCTTACATTAGGTGTGGAACTTAGTGAGTCACTTAGGCTCTCTGAGTCTCAGCTTCCTCCTCAGTCAATTAGGCCAATAAGTCCTCCCTCCCAGGATCTTCGTGAAGAAGGAATAAGAACAAGTGTAATACTGAAAATACTTAATGTTATTTGCTATTACTATGATCCGGAAGCCTTCACCAGAGGTTGTCCCTGATCTGCTGACACTTAAGACTAGGTCCGGCCCAGCTCTGAGAGATTCTACACTCCCTGGAGATAATGGATGAAAGCCTGGAAACCCCTAGGTCACTCCGGGGCCCCTCCAAGAATATAAAGGCACTGGGAAGCTCCACTCCCTCCCTCGGCGTCTTCCACCTGGCTTACCCACACACATGCGCCCGATGATGCGGCAGCCAGCGATGGACGCGTGCACCACGGGGATAGTATCGGCGAGTTCGCCCTCGAACACACTGTAGGGACATGGACTCGGTGGTCACGGGGCTGAGGGCCCGGTGCCCTCACTCTGCCGGGGCCCCTGACTCGCAGCACCCCTCTCCGCCACCCACCCACACAGGTCCCCGGGCTCCCGCCGCACCTGTAGAAGTTCTCTGACCCTCCGATGGCCACCAGGCAGTACGTGTTGGTGAGTTTGGCAAAGCAGCCGATCTCACAGTTGTTCTCGAACGACGCTCGGACCGCCATGGGGCCTAGGGGCTGCGGGGCCGAGAGTTCAGGGCTGGCGGACCGTCTCTCGGCCCCGGATCTCTCAGGCCCCAACGCGACGCCACCCCTCTCGGCCCCTCAGACCTTGGGTCCCGCCCACTGGGCCCCTCCAGACTCAACGGCCCCGAATCCTCCAGCCTCCTCCCCTCACGATCCGGGACGCCCGGGGCTGACCCTTCCGGTCTCCTTCCACACGGGCTCACCAAGAAACCGCAAGCTCTTCACGCGGGCAACAACTCCTCCTCTGCCTCAGGAAGGTTTCCGTTTCCTCCTCCGCCTTGGGAGACTTCCGGGAGAGCCCGGCGCACGCCACCACGCATGCGGCCACTCTAGCTCCAGCCCCTGGGATGATTCTCTGGTTGCAAACGCACTGGTCGCACCCCCGCCTGGCTCCGCCCCCATCATGCTTACGTGCATCATTCATCATTCATTCATTCAGAAGATTTTTAGGAGGTGCAATCGACCCAGACCTGTAGCTGGTTGGAATGTGAGGCATGAAAGAGAAGGAGCCAGAGATGTCTCGCAGAGGATGGGTTGATGGAGGTATTTACTGAAGTAGAGCCTGAGGAGGAAGAGGTGCGAGCAAGGTGATCTGCCGAGCGTGAGGTGCGGGACAGACATCCAGGCCAGATCTGGAGCCCAAGGGAGAGCGAAGGGCATAGGAATGAGGTTTGGGGCTGAAACCTGGGGTGGAATGAGGCCCCACCCTCACCTATGGAGAGGGTGTTCAGTAGGGAGGAGTGAGAGGACAGAGCCTGGAGAAGGAGGTGTGGCTGGAGGAGGAGGTGTGGCCAGAAAAGTAGAGGAAACCAAGCTGAAGGAGGTATTGGAGAGAGGGGAAGATGGATGAAGCAGGGTCTTAGGGAGAGGTTAGAAGGGGAGAGTCTAAAGTGGGCAAGGGTGTGGGGCTGACTGGCTTTCACTATGTGCCTCTTGCACATGCCTGATCACTCATTCAGGAGCCACCTTCCATCTCCAGGACAGATAGTGGCAGTAAAGGGACCTACTCTCGTGGATAGGATGAACTTGGCCCACATTTTGTAGAATCTACAAAAGCCCCCAGGGTCTCTCAGAATGTCACAGCAAGGGCAGAAGGGGCTTGGAGCCCCTGGCCTCCCCCCAGCCCTCCTGTGGGCATCCACTCCCTTCAGGGAGCCCTCCATAATTAGCATGAATGGTGGCCTTCCCCTGCCCCCAACGTGCAGTTCCATAACTCTGCCTTCCTCAGGAAACACCAGGCTGCTGCTGGGTTATAGCATGTCTGCCTTTATTGGTTTGTGTCATGTATATTCTCCCAGACAGGTGGTGAGCTCAGGAAAAGGACCCAAAACCGGTCAGACTGTGCTTCTAGGGACACAGCAAAATGATGTGTGTGTGTCAGAGTGTCTGGGTGTCCACGTCCTCTACTTGTCCTCCCCAGTTCACTTCAGACTCACTCCCTCAGTCCTCTCCCTGGCCTCTCTTCACCTGGTTCCCTCTACCAGGAATTCCTCTTACTCTCTCCTCCATCTGTCCAAATCCTCCCCATCCTTCAAGGCCTGGCTCAAAGGCTTCTCCTCTGAGAAACTTTCCTCACCACTCCACCATCACCACTACTCTCTGCCCTTCGTTCTCTACTACCCTCTGTCACTGGTCAGCCTTTAACTAGATACAGCTGTCTTGCTCACCAATGGTTTATGCATTTAATCCTCATCTCCCAGGGACTGAGCCTGATTTATTTGCTCAATGGCCTGCCCAGCACAGGGCTGGGTACACAGCTTAGGTTAAAAAAGATACTGGTTGGTGCATGTGTACCTCCATGTTTGTGTGTGTGTGTGCATGTGTGGTTATGTGCATATTTATGATCTGTGGATCCTTAGGGGTCTACGGTGTGCACCGAATGCATGTATTTTGTGCCATTCCTTTAGCCAAATGACATTTATTGAGCACCTATAACTAGAATTTTGAGTGTTTTGGTCTATCACATCCACCTATGTGTACATATTGTGTGTTTCTATGGATATACAGTTTGTGGGTGTGAACGCTGTCAGTGTGCTGTGCATATTGTGCAGGCATTTTGGGCATCTTTGTGATGTGTGTATTTTGTGTGCATGGAGACATGTGAACTGTTGATAGTGTGTGTCATGTCTGTGCAAAAACACAATCTTAAGAGATCAGAGACACAGGTTTGGGCCCCTACTCCTCCACTTACTTGGACCTGATTCCAAGCAAGCCATCAAACTCTCTGGGTCTCAGCTTCCACATTAATAAAATAGAGAAGATAATATCTATGATCCTAGAATTGTATACCTGCTAGAGGTCTATATTGTAGAATGTTGTGAGGATGAAGGATAAGAAGTAACTGGTATGAAGTGCCCAGCACAGAGGCAAATGACACGTGCCCAGTAACAGTGGGTTCCATTTCCCCGAGTGTGTGTGTGTGTGTGTGTGTGTGTGTTTAAGCAAGAATCCTCAGCCCACGGAGTGTCCAATCTGAGCTTCTAGACACCTTCTCCTCCCCATGCAGCCCCTGCCCAAGCTCGCACCCCAGAGTCTGGGACTTGAGCAAGTCTAGAGTCTCAGTGGATGGAGCACGGACGTGTCCCTGCTGGGAGCAGGACTAGGACTCGAAGCGGCTTCGGAGCAGCCTGACCTTGGACTTGTTGTACTTAGTGATAAGGTCCAGTTTGCTGTGACCCAGGGTCAGTCGTTTCTCATCCTCAAGCAGGCCATTGCTACTGCCATTGCGATGGCCACCTGTGGGGCCCCCCGGGGGGCCAGGGTCAGGTCCCGGCCTGGTGCCCTGCAATTGATGATACTTTGTGATGAGGTCCAGCTTGCTGTGGCCCAGAGTCAGCCGCTTCTCATCCCCAGAGCCCACTCCAGCCTTGCAAGCAGGACTTGGTCCGGGGAGACCACTGGGCCCAGGCCCCTCACCCCGGAACGGGCCAAACTTTGTGATGAGGTCCAGCTGGCTGTGGCCCAGGGTCTGCCATCGCTCATCTGGACCCTGCTTGCCAGCCCTGGCTGAGGAGTTAGCTTCAAGAGGCACTCTCGAGCCCCCAGCCTTGGGGTACTGTACCAGGAGGTCCAATTGGCCATGACTGTGATTTGGGGACAGCCTCTTGTCCTCTGGAGTCCGATCGCCAGGTCTGGGGGAACCTGACTCAGGGGCACCCTTGGCACCCTGGGCCCGGGGCAGAGGATCCAGCTGGCTGTATCTCTGGCTTGGGGACAACCTCCTGTCCTCTGGGGCCTGTTTGCCAGACCAAAGGGAGCCTAAGTTGGGAGTAACCCCAGAATCAGGGCCTCCTACTTCTTGGGCTCTGGGGAAGGGGACAAGGAGATCCAGCTGGCCATGGCTCTGACTCAGAGACACCTTCTTCTCCTCCACCGTCTCCAGGGCTGTGCCAGGTACCCAGCGACCTCGTGGGGGGCTGGGCTCCTGGCTTCCTGGGAGCCCATTCTCCGGGAGACGGGACAGGGCTAAGATACTTCGGGGGAAGGGGAAAAGGGGGCGTGAGCAAGGGAGCAGAGATGACCCCACTGCCAGGGTCAAGGGGCTGGCACTATTGTGGTTGAGGGTGGGGGAAGACTGGGACCATGGGGACATTCCCAGCTTGCCTAGGTTGGCCCTGTAGGGCCCTGGTGGGGAGCCATGGTTAGGGTCTGACATCTGGTGTTGCAGAGTGGGCTGACCACTGGCCTCGCAGCGGGCAGGGCCTGGGGATGAGGACCCCATACCCATGTCACTGCAGCCACCGCCTCCTGGTAGAGCGAGGTAGGAGTGGCCCATGAGAGGTGAGCATTTGATGCTGCTGAGGCTGGTGCTGGAGGGCGATGAAGATGTGGGGCTGGGGATGCGGGGCCTGAAGGCCAGGGCCACCGGGGGAGGGCACGATGCCCGGGAAGACAGGTGATCCTCACTGCCACAGAAGCCCTCCACAGGTTGTGACTCAGCATACAGACAGCGGAACTCCCGGTCAAAGTCTTCCACAATGCGGCCCCTCAGCTGCAGCACCATGCTGGTGTGGGCCTGGCTGCAAAGCCAGGTGAAGCTGGGGGCAGAGGGTTGAGGTCAGGACCCTGGGGCTAGGCAGGAGTCAGAACAAGGGGAGCATACCAAGACACTGGATCAACTCCACCACCACAAGGGCTCCAGTGAGGGGGCAGAGCTCTGATTCTAGCGTGTGCTAATCCTAACTCTGGTTAGTGGACTTGGGCACATGGTTTCCCATCTCAGGGCTTCAACTTCCCCATCTGAAAAATGACCAGGGGCAAGGTTCCCAGAAGTCCCTCCATTTCCAAGGTGCAATAGTTATAGTCTATGCCTAGGGCATTAAGGTAATCCTTTCATAGAGCCAGCTCCTCCAGGGCCCAGCCTGGGGCTGTCTTGCTCCCCACACTGTCCCCCAGCCCTGCACAATGCCTGGCACACGGCAGCTGCTCAGTCCATGTTGGAAGAATGAGGGGGAGTTCAAAGATGTCAGATCCCAGGTGTCCTTGCTAGCCAGTGACCCAGCCCCAGGCAGCTCTACCCTCCCTTCCACTTGCTCACCTGTAGCTGCCCGTCACCACCTGCTCACAGTCAATGATGACGAACTTCTCCAGGGCCTGCCCTGTGAAGCGGCGGCCTGCCTTGCTGCAGTACGTGTCCCCACATGTGCTCCGTACACGCATGTTCTGGGCCAAGGAGGGAGGGAGGTTGGAGGGTGACCTTTGAGAGAATGGGGCTCAAGCCATGTCTAAATCCCATGGGGTCTCTGACCTTAAGCAGCTAAGGAAAGCCAGTCCCGCACTCCCATTGACCCGCAATGTTCACGGACCACCCAACTGACTCTTCTGCCCTCCCTGACTCCCCACCCCAACCCAACCCTTGGTTACTGCCCCTGTCCCTCACTGACCGGCAGGTGCCCCCCATTGAGGTCCATCTTGTAACACATTTCCAGGAAATGCCTCAGGTGCTCCTGAGCCAGGAGCAGGTAGACGGGGACACCACGCCGGTTCGAGGCCTCCATGAGGTCACATAGAAGCTCCATGTCGGTGAATATGTCCATCACCACAGCCACCACCTGGAGGAGGGAGGGGGAAGCTCATCCCTGCCTGGGGCATTGCCCAGCCCAGGGGATCCCAGGAAAAGCACACGACTGAAGATCAGGAGGCCAGAGCCTGCAAGAACACCTGAACTAGAACGGCTTTTAGCGATGACCTAGCCCAGGAGTTCGTAACTCAGACACAGGGAGATGTCACTGTCTTGAACCCCCAAAAGTTGTTTGAAAGTTTTGGTGTGCATTTTTCTGAAGACAGAGTGTTTATCTATCAAAGATGTCTGTGGATTGGGGCCGGCCCGGTGGCGCAGTGGTTAAGTGTGCGCGCTCCGCTTCGGCGGCCCAGGAGTTCGCAAGTTTGGATCCCAGGCGCACACCGACGCACCGCTTGTCAAGCCATGCTGTGGCAGGGGTCCCACATATAAAGTGGAGGAGGATGGGCACAGCTGTTAGCCCAGGGCAATCTTCCTCAGCAAAAAAAGGAGGATTGGCAACAGACATTAGCTCAGGGCTGATCTTCCTCACAAAAAAAAAAAAAAAAGATGTCCGTGGATCAATTGCACTGGTCTAAAGCTCTACTCTACATACGGGGAAACTGAGGCCCAGAGTGGGAAGGCTGTCAGAAGCATAACCCAGACCCCAATTCCCAGTCTAGGTCCTCACAATCTCCCCACTAGCTCGAGCCCCAGCTCTGGCCCAGGGACTGTCTGTCTGAGGCTCTCTTCTCAAGAATCAGAGCTCCAAGCCAGTTATTGGGGTCTTCAGTGCTCTTTGCCTGACCTGCCTCAGTTTCCTACTGAAGCTGCAGAGGTCTGGTGTGACGTCTTACACCCATGGACTCCTGCACTTCCACCCATGCCAACTGGGACCAAGTTTTCTGCTGAGCTGAGGGGCTGGGGCTTGTGGCCTCCCTCATACAATGGGCTTCCTCAGAGACGCCCTAACAAACCCCTGGCACAGCCAAGTCCCCAACTGCCCCTTCCCATTGCATATCTGCTGTGAGAACCTCCTCTCCCAGTCCAGGCCAAGTGCAGGAGGTACAGAGCAAAGCACTCCAGCTCTGGAGCTAGACAGAACTGGGTTCGAACCTGCACTCAGCTACGTCTGAGTGATATGGCCTTCAGCGAGTTGCTTCACCTCTGGGAGCCTCAACTTCCTCATCTGTTAAATGGAGATAATGATAGCTACATCTCAGAGTTATGGGGAATTAAATGTGAAAATACTCAACACACAACAGAAGCTCAATAAATGTTCCTTTCCTGCTGCCTCCTTAACAAATGAGGACGTTGGGCTGCAGGGAAAGGGAGTACTTCCCAAGGTCGCTCTGAGTCAGGGACAGCCTGGAGCGGAAGCCTGGCTTCTGGCCCAGAGGTGAGGGTCTAGATGGGGGGTGAGGAGGGAAGGCACTAGAGGATGCCCTAGTCCACAGCACAGGCCTGGCCAGGGGTAGGGGAACAAGGACAGCAGGAAAGATCAAAGGTGCAGGGGTGATGACAGCAGCCACCTCACTAATAACTCCATTCCCGGTGCCAATCAGGCCTGGCCCTCCCTTGCCTGGGGTGCAGGCGGGCTTGCCAGGGAGGCTGTGGAGGTACAGTGGGATCCCAGCATCCTTGCTCCCGATCTCTGCGGCAGGAACCTTCCAGGCTGCTACTCCAGACAAGGGCACTGAGTCTAACCTACCTCAAATCCTGCCTGGGGTCATCTGACCCATTCCCCTGCCTCTTAAGTCAGAGGTCAGGGCTCCAGGAGTGAAGTTGTGCTCGTCTGTGGCTGGAGCCTTCCCAGGCACGGACCACCCCTACCTGGTCTCCTACTTCTCTTTCTCCTGGGCCACTGCTCCCCATCCCTGAGCCCAACAGCCTCCACCCCTCTTTCCTTTTGGTGCAGAGCTAAAGGCCCAGCCCTCAAGGCCATGCCGAGGCCCAAGCACCCTCCCCTGCTTCAGGCCCAGCTGGAGATACAGTGCATGAGGGGTGAGGTGCAGCTGGGGACATGTGTCAGGAGGTAGGGCCGTGCCTGCGGCCCAGGGCCTGGTCAGGACCCCTTTCTCCCTGAGCCCTGAGCTCTATTTCAGCAACTGACTGGACCTCCATGATCAAGTCCCAGCCCCTCTCTGGCCTCAGTTTCCTCCTCTGTAAGTCAAGGGAGTGGCTCAGATGTCTACCTAGGTTGGGGTTCTTAGTTTGAGGATCATAAACCTTTTTGAGAATCTGATGAAGGCCCTGGACCCTCTCCCAAGAAAGGTGCAGAGGACCCCTCCCTGCAATATGCACAACTTTGCATGCATTTTCAGAGCTCTGTGGAGTCCCTGAGGCGCATCCCCTGGTCTATGCTTATCCATAATGTTCTGGAGTGCCAAGGGCTTGCCAAGGTGAATAAAACACATGCCCACCCTCCAGGAGCTTGTGAATGATAGAGGCCAGAGGTTCTAGTCTCAGTGCTGCCCCTAAGCTGCTGTGCGGCCTGGGGCTGGTCCCTTTCCTTCCCTGGGCCTCAGTTTCCACATCTGTGAAATGAGTATCTGAAGAGATGAGTCCCTTACCGTGCGGGCCTGGCTGAAGAGGAAACGCAGAAGGTCCTTGATGTTCTTGGCCTTGTCCCGCTGGAAGTGCACCACAGCCTGTGTGGGGCTGAAGCCCGTGGCCTGTGGAACCTCAGGCCAGCCCAAGTCCAGGTCTGGGGGCTCTATATCGGAGGCCATGGGGAAGTAAGTGCCTGAGGTGACTTCGGAGAGCAGGCTGAGGTGGTCGGGCCCTGAGGCCTCCAGTCCCTGGGCCTCACTGAGCTCAGGGCCCGCGCACACATGGCTGGTCATATAGTCCATATCCAGGGCACTCAGGAAGGGCAGCTCCCGCTCCTCAGAGATGACCTGCAGGTAGGCAGCCTCACCCCGCTCCAGGAGGGCGTCGGCTGCCAGCCGGGCCGCCTCACTGTGCTGTAGCACCAATGGGGAGCTCTCCCGCCACCATGGCCGTTTCAGCTCCTCCACCCGGTCCCGAAGGGGTCCTGCCATGCTCTGGGCTCCCAGGACCCCAGGCCCTAGGCCTCCAAACATACCTGCCCACCTGGCTGCCCTCATCCTCCAGCAGGCTCCATGGCCTGCACCTCGGGCTGGCTGCAGCAGGAAGAAGATACTAGCAGAACCACCTCCTGCCTGCCTGCCCTGTGCGTGGCAGGGCCCCCAACCTGTTGCCACCCTAAGTCAGAACCATGCTCCACCCCATTGCCCCTGGCTTCTGAAACCTGTCAGGTCAGCCTCACCTGTGTGCCTGCTGTTGGGACTCGCCCGCCCAGGGAAACTGCAGTGCCAGACTCTTAGCACACACTTCTGCACCCTCCCCGCCCCACCCCAGCATCACCTGCCCCATCCCCACCAGGCTCCCAGCAAGTTTCCTCCAAATCCTGACCTATAGAGCCCCCATGGAGGTTGGATTATGGTCCAGAGGGGCCTGGCCCTGCTCAGGGCCACATGTGCACGTGTGGGCGCGCACACACACACACACGCACCTACACAGCAGGGTGGATAAATGACTCAGGACACCAAGATAAAGACGTGAACACACAAGCAGATGGGCTGACTGACATAGTGACATACACAAACATAGACTATAGGCTGATATATGCAGACCACACACTTTTTATCCACCTCACGTAAACTGACCCAAACACTAATTCAGAGACTAGCCATAACCCCAAACATACCATGATGGATATCGCAAGCCTTGGCACACCTGCACACAGGCCCTAAATAAGAGCTGAACAGAATGTCACACGGAACTGTCAAAGACATCAACACCTATCTGTCTCCCATCCAGGCCTCTCTTTGCTTCTATAATGGCCCTGACACTCTCCACCTCCATAACTGTGGCACTCATAGTCCCCTGCCCCACCCCCACCCCGGCTCTGAGCCCATCCTCCAAGGGTTTAGAGCAGTGGCTCTCACTATAGCCCCCAAAATAGCCGAGAAGTGTTGAAATGCATATCTCCGGGTTCTATCCACCTGAGATTCTGATCCAGAAGGTCTAAGTAGGCTGCTGGAGCCTGCTTTTTAACAAGTGCCCCTGTGCACCTGGGGCAATGGGCTGAGGCCCACTCCTGAGAAATGCTGTTCCACATGGCTATGTTTCCATCACCCTCAAGTTCAGGGAAGCTCTTAGCTTGGTGAGGGCTAGACCTCAGCCTTCTTCCTCTCCTCAGGGTCTGAGTATTAAACAGTTAGTGAGAAAGTTTGTTTCTGAGCATGGGGGACACACTGCAAGGTCAGGAGACAAACAGAGCAGGCAGGTTTCTATTCTCTGCCCTCAACAAGGGCCACAGTCTCAGAGTCTTCAGGAGCATGGGTGAGAGGCTTTGCTCTAGAGATGGGGGGGTCAGCAGATGGCAGCTAGTTAGAGAGGCAGGCCAAGCAGAAGTGGTCACAATGGTGCACAGTGACAGCTCAAGGCACCACTTTTCTATGGAGGGACGAGATCCAATAAGTGGTGCCAGGAGAGCAGGAGACTTAATGCCATGTCTCAAGACCCTAGCTTAGTACTGACTGCACTTGCTTTATCTGGTCTGTGATCACAGCCAGACCAGATATAGGTTCTTCTATGACCACAGAGCTTCATACATGGGGCCAACACATGCACAGTGGGGGGACAGTGGCATTTAGGGGCTCCCCATGTGCAGCTGGGCCCTGGGACCAAAGATGAATGGGGCTGGGGCTTTGTCCTTGAGGAGCCTAGAAGTGAGGGACCTAGGGGGGCAGGGAAGAGCTGTAGGCCAAGAGCTTAAATGCTGGGCCATTCCATCCCATCCCAGGGACAAGGGCAGAAATCGAAACACCAGACACTCTAAGGAGGCCCTTCCCTGGGGGTGGGGAGGCTGCATGAGGAGCACAGGGTTGAGTAAGCAGAGCCAGACTGTGGGAGGGTAATGAGCTGTGGGGGTAGCCAAAGTGGCAGGGCCTTCATTAGGGCCTTATCTCCAGATTTGTTTAGGGGGAGAACCGGGACCTTATCTGGGTCAGACAAGTGCTCCTGGAGGGGAGGCAGGCATGTTTCTGTGTTGAGTTCTTGTGTTTAGCCATCAGTGTGCATAAGTCTATCTAATGGTACGTATTTTTGGCTCTTTTTAAAATTATTTTTAATGGTGGTAAAATTAGCTAAGTCCACATAACATAAAGTTTACCATCTTAACCATTTTTAAGTTCAGTGGCATTAAGTACATTCATATTGTTCTGCAACCATCACCACCATCCATCTCCAGAACTTTTTCATCTTCCCCAACTGAAACCCTGTACCCATTAAACACTAACTCCCCATTTCCTCCTCTCTCCCGGCCCCTGGTAACCACAACTCTGGTTTCCGACTCTATGAATTTGACTACTCTACATATCTCAGGTGAGTGGAATCATACCATATTTGACTTTCTGAGATTGGCATGTTTCGCCTAGCATAATGTCCTTGAGGTTCATCCATGTTGGAGCATGTGTCAGAATTTCCTTCCTTTTTAAGGCTGAATAATATTCCATTGTGTGTATATACCACGTTGTTTGTCCATTCACCCATTGATAGACACTTGGGTTCTTTCCACCTTTTGGCTATTGTGAATGATGCTGCTTGAACATGGGTGTACAAATTTGGCTTGGTATTTTTCTCTATTTCCTCCCATGCCCACGTTTGTATTAGATTCCATTTTTGTAAGTAAAAAACCACTGAATGTTGGCAATTTCATATGGCTCAACTCAACATATATACATATACCTATGCATAACTGTACCTGTGCATGTATGTACATGTACATACTATTTGTTTGTGTGCTTGCTTGGTTGTCTTTAAGTATCTAGCCATGCATCAGTGTATATTTACCCATGTGCACATCTGTGTGTATGTACTCATGACTGCATGTCTGGGTGCAGACCTATTTGTGTGTATGAGTGTCTGGGCAGTGGGGGTGGTCTTTGACCCTAACTCTGGACTGCAGTACTAGGTGTGTGTACAAGGGAACTCAACTGAGAAGGGCAGGGATGGGAAAACTGAGTTTAAGGGAAAAGGGCTCTCGGGGATCCCTAACATCCTGATAATAAAAGCCAAATCAAATCAAATTCCCTATAGCTGCAGGACTGGCTGACCCCGTGGGCTGAGTGGGTAAAGGCCAACGGGAGAGTAGGCAGGTGGATCTTGGCCTTGGGGTTGGCCCTAGGGCTGGGGGCCCAGGGTGATGGGAGCCACACAGATAGCGAAGCCCAGACCCTGGCTACAGTGTGTTGAGCATAGGCCCCTTAATAACTGTTATTAAGAGAAAGAAAAGTATTTTCCTGTCCAGAAGGTGTGTTAGGTGCCTGTCTGGCATCATTCTGCTATGCCAGGGGCCATTTAACCTTGTCTGTTGTCTCTAAAAGCCAAGTGGCACCTGGGCAGGTGACTGTCATGTGGGGGTGGTGGAACAGAGATTAGGCTGCAACCCACCAGTTGTAGGCTGCTCTGATGCCAACACTGCCAAATAACTTGAACGTGGCATCTCTGGGTCAGGGGAGACAAGATTCCTGGAGAGGAGCAGCCAGGGTAAACAGGGGAGCCAGAGTATGCCCAAATCCCTTGAATCAAGGCAAAGCAACCTAAAAGCTAGAGATCTCGGGACAAGTGGTAAGGATTCCCAGAGGTTGGCTTGAACTTTGTATTAAAGGATGAGAAAGATTTCAAGATGTGCAGAATAGCAAGCAGGGCATTCCAGGCTGGAGGACTAGAGGGGTAAGGGCATGCCTACTGAAGGAAGGAGGGGGTGCTGGTACAGGGAAAGGGCTGCCAGAAAGACCATCTGGAGCCACACTCTGAAGAGCGAGGACCTTGCTAAGGTGCTGGCTCTCATCGTTCAGATGACTATGTAGAGGTTGGCAAGATTCCTAGAGCGATATTTTAGGATAACTTTGGAAGTAGCCTCCCAGGGAGAGAGTGGCCTAAGCACCAGACTCCCAGAAACAACCCAGATGGATGTGGTTCACTGTTCTTGAGCATCACACAGGCGTTCAGGAGGTCACTCTGGCCCTGGCACTTAATGGGTGAGTTGAACAATCACAACTCTGGGTCACAGTGGCTTAACCTGTAAATGGGACCAACACTGCCTCCTTCATCAGGTTGTTGTGAGGAGTAACTGGGCTACTCTATGTCAAGTGCCTGACTGAGAGGCGTGGTAGCTCAGTACACACTGAATCCCAGAGCTTTTCCAGCTGTGAAAGGGCAGGCGCTCAGTGAAGGCCTGAAGACAAATGAGGCAGGGACCAAAGGAGCTCCTCCTGGTCAGTCTCTGGCCCTGAAGGTGAACATGGCTCCCAGGCCACATCTGTAGAGTGTGACTCTGAGATTTGGCCTCTTACTCCAGCTCACAGGAGGCAAGGTCCTCTCTCCACTCTGCATACACAGATGAGCATTCCGGCAAGCGGGATCACAAGGAATGAGAACTTTGCATTCCATTTCAGAAAGGGTCTGGACTGTAGACACTGTGGTAATGGGGTCTCACCCCTTCTCCCACATCCTTCCCTCCACTCCCTCTATCCATCCATCCACCTCAACCCATTCAGTGGTGGGAAAGTTGTCCCCACTCCTCATGTTTCTTAAAGAGAGGGAATTCCCACTCCACTCTCCAGGAGGGGAAGTGTGAGAAGACCACTCCCTCTTCTGCCTCCTCACTTGCTCCTTCCTCCCCAAGGGAAGAGGAATGGTTTGTCTGATTGGTGGCTTAGGAAGAAGCTGGGCTCAAATCTTTCTGGATTTCTCTTTTTTCCTTTTTTTGGTTTTGCTGTAGGCAAAAGGTAGCATATTCTCCATTGATGTACACGGTAAACTTCCAAAGGAGGTTCTGCCCCTGCAAAGGGAAGAGGTCTGCCCTTTCTTGTGTGTGTGTGTGTGTGTGTTTTTTAGTTTTGGGAGGATATTAGCAAGTCCATTTGGCCAGAGAGTAAAAGCTATGTTCTCCAATCAGCTTTATCAGAAATACTGGTAAAGCCACCATTTTGATGTCCATCTGTTTGTCTCTTGTCTTCTCAATTTGTTCTGAACTTAGGAGGGGAAGAGATATTATCTATTGACCTCTTAAGCCTCCAACACTATTGATCCAGCCACCTCTCCTTCCCCATCCCATCCCATCCCCTCCCCTCTCCCTCTGTCCATCCAATCCACCCAACATGTATTTAATGCCTACTTCAGGCCAGCACTGTAGTCCCAAGGATGAATAAGACTTGGTCTTTGCCCTGGAGGAACTCACAGTTTAATAGAGAAGGCAGACTCATAATTATAAGCCACAGATTAAGCTGAGGTATAAACCAGTGTCAGGGTTTAGAGCTCATGACCCATTCTGGAACCTTAGAGGAAACATGCCCCCACCCCGCACCCTCACCCCCCAACTAGGACACAGCCCTGTAACAGGCTCATTCCCAGATGGTAACTGGGAGGTGAAGGAGCTGTTTCTGGCCGTAGGGA